AAACGTAGCTGACCTAACTACTGAAATGCTGGCCACAAGTACAAGGACTACTTTAGATCGAAGAGAAATTATTCTCTTCGATAATACAGGAACATCACTTGAATTTGTTTCTGCCCTTTGTCATCTCTGTGAGATGTCCAAAAGTACTAAAGCTTTCAGACTGGCTAAAATTTTATTAAGAACTGCATTTATGGATGTCCTGACCTAGAGATCCATTTTTATATTCAAAGGGACATATGTATGCAAGGATGAAGATCTAGAGTACAATTTTTTTTTTTTTCAAATCTGAATGCACTCTTCAATATGTACATATTGCAACTCCTCTATTGACCTGATGGTCATACATGCTTCAGAAAAAGCAACTGCCTTTTTAGCATGGAAGTACTGCTTCACAAATTCTGGTACAAAAATTTGTGCTATTATTTCCTGTAGTAGTTTCAGTCTTTGCAAAAACACAGTAGGATTTCTCCCCCTTTTAACCCAAGTGGTATGTCTTGCTCAAATATTTACAGCTATATTGATATCAAGGAGATTTAGTCTCTTGAAGTCTCTTACCTTTGTATTTTTGGCTTTAAATTCCTGTCTGAGTAAAACTGACAGCTCATGATTGATAGGCTAGACTAGATGAAAAACAGTCCTTTTTAGTCTTAAGTATTTTGTATCAAACTTAGCAATGCCTCCATTCTTTCTAGCATTTTAACTTTCATATTTCACTTTTTGTCTGCAAGAAGAGTTGAAAAAATCATTTAGACTAGGTCGTTCTTTTCACAGCTAAGTGGCTTGAAGGACTACACAAATTTTTCCATTCCTAATGCACTTACTGTTTTTCTTCACTCGATCAGCAGTCATAGAAAAGCCCTGCAAGTCCACGGTTCTTTTGTTGGAGCGCTACACATGTCAAATTTTCATCCTATTTTTACATTATTTGTTCTAACCAACATGGATAAAACAACACTGAAAGGAACAGACAATATTTAGAGACTCCCTTTGGCAAGCTCGATTAAACAAGGTATTTACTTTAACAGTAATCTTTACCTTAATTGTTTCATTTTACAGATAACAGCAACTTTATTCTATTGAGAAAAGACAGACTGTGCAAGTAGAAGGATAAACATTCTACCACCTACATAAAATGCAAGAAAAGCTGAATTGTCTCACCTATAGAGAAGCAGGGTTTTTTTTTTGTCCTTAATGAGAGTGCTAGGATTCTAAAGAAAGGGTAAATCCATCAGTCATTGGCTGACAGCCAAATATAAATTGCAAAATAAAATCTCATGTCAAACCTCTGTTGCATGTAGCTAAAGTTTAGGAAGTGTCCAGTAGTTGCTTACACATTAATTACCATGTTATGAAATCCATCCTGTTTGTAAGCTTCTCAAGGACTAAGAGACTAATCCAGACCTCTGAGTCATTCCCCTCCATCCCCCAATACGCGAGTAAGACCATCAGCTCCACACTGTATTCTTAGGAACAACATCAATCTTCAGTGGCATTTACTTAGCACCGTATTACTACCTCTGGTACGAAACGAAGGTACTAGAGAGTTCCATGGCAAGTGCCAATGCATTTGAAATATTTTCATTGTATTCAGGCTTGCTCCTCTTCTTATGCTTTTTCTTCAGCTAAATGCTTATCCTGCATTACACAGTTTGCAGTAAAATAATTCATCTTAGCAGCTACCCTGTCTTTCAGACATCTTCTAGAATCTCAGCTATTGTTCTTTCCATCCCATTTTAAGCACTGTGAATTAGGTTATAAAAGATAAACTAAAAGCAAAGAGCTCTTCTCTTTCCAGAAACTAAAAGATAGCCACCAGACTGATGCCCTGAATTTTTTACAGAGATTTGTTTAGACATACATAAGCATTTTCAAAAAGTTTTGCTTTTGCTGTTCTAAATGTTGTGAATGAATGTCAGTATTATATTAGCAGGAATCTGTGGGAAAATCTGAGTGATGCCTGTTCACACTATACCCACCTCATTACAAATTCTATTACTCATTTTAGTGAGCTCTAATCTAGGTTATTATGCCACACCCATCACCATGAGAATGCAAGTTAAACGTATCAGAAGTACTTTGTTATTCATCTTTTCTCAGAAATTATACTGTGATCTGATTGCAGTTTCAATATATAAAAACAATTTGAGTAGTCACACCTGACAGATCCAAAAAATTAAAGAATGATATAAGCCTCCTAAGAAAAGTCTAGTGCAGCAATGATATTTAACATTTGATATGAACAGTGGACATGCACATAATTATTTAAAGATCGAGATGAACTCATTCCTGACCACGAGAGAAACAGCAGTGACAATTCCCCATCCCTAATTAACTGTATGACTTACAGCAGAGGTAAATACACCAGGGATTTTGCTCAGTGGTTCTGCTCAAGCTTCTCAAAGCATTATCCACCCCGAACACCACCTCTACAGAAAAGATGATTTAAAACATACATCTAAGTCTCCACTATTTCATATGGTCATCCTTATTTAAAATCAACTACTACAAATTAAAAACAAAAATGGTATTGTTCCTGCCACAGCCTGTCAACTTCTCTGAGATCAAAAGTATGTACTGCAAAACATTTCTTATTTTAAGGGAAAAAAAAGTATTATAGGAACTTTTTTAAGTTTCCTTTGCAACTTGAAAGGCAAAAGAAGAACTACTGTCTACAGCAGTGAATGAAAGAATATTCTATGCACAGCTATGTTTTGCACAGGGAAAGTAAAGACATTTTTAGGCTAGTAGTAGAAAAGCTTTTGTTTTGATATATGGTTTATACAGATCACTAGAGAAAAAGTTTGGATTTTAGCAGCTTCAGTTTTGTAAGCAAGTATCCACAGATGGTTCCTTTTAAGTTGATGGAATAAGAAAAAATGGTGGAAAGATGTTCCATAGGGACTTCATGCTCTAGCTTCTGACAGAATGGAAGGATATTCTCCAAACACCTTATTCAGATGCCCAAATTCCAGGCAAGGCCCAGCACCCAATGCTTTCCGTAGACTGGCTCCAAGTAGCTCCCTGCTCAGTGTTTTCTTAGTCCCTTTCTAGTGGTCTACTGAAGTGCCGCGTTTGCCTATCAATAACTAACCAGTTATACAGATTTTGACTATGTATGTAAATACTTATACCATCTATTTTTTTTTATTATATTGATCGCATTAGAAAATAATGAGTACTGGTATCAAATGATACCCTCAAAAGGATATGCAAGTAAGACAGGGATCATCTGCTAACAGTGTAGTTTTGCAAAAAACACAAAGGCAATATAAAAAATAATTCTGAGCATACAGACAACTCAATATTTACAAAAGCATAAAGTCTTTCAATACATTATAAAGCAAGATTGTTAAACCCAAACTATCTAAATTGTGGGCATTTTAATTCGAGGGTATATGCAAGTATGACAGCATGGGCTGCAGGCGACCAATTGCATCAAATTACAGGTGGAGAGCAAAAACATTTCCTAATTTGAACAACTAGGCACTGGCCAAAAATTCCAATGGATATAAAAGCATCAGATTAAAACCTGGGTTGCTGAAATGACTTCACTTTATTCCAATATATTTAAAATAAATCTTGGAAGCAATAATATTAATAGCTGTGTTAGCAGCAAGTCTGAGAACTTGTAGGAAGTTAGAGGGCTCATCTGTTCTGATTGTTGAGTGGAAGGTAATTTATTATGAATTTCTTGTGAACATACAGAGTTAAGTATAGTGTTAGAGGGTACTAGGCATATAGTACGATTTTCATCTTGGGGTATAAGCAAAGCAGAAATATGTAAATATGCCGGTAAAGTTTAGGCCATATGTTCTACTAAAGAAGCGGCATTTCATAAGAGCTATAAAAAAGATCTTCTAGGGTGTGGAGAAAGAACTTCATGTTTAAAACATGATTACCTCAACACACCCAAAAGGTGTGTACACTTTAAAACATTACCTCATGTTTTGCCTCACATTATTATCCACGGGCAAATGATGCAACACAGAGCACATAATAGGTCATGTAAGCTATGCGTAGTTTTTAACTTCTGGGGGGAGAAAGCATGGGGAAAGCACAAGATCTTTATGTGCCTCCCAATGGAGTTCTCTTCTCGTGAAGTGGGTAGAATCAGGAAGCTACATACTATTTCACTACCCATCCCCGTTCCAAAAACCAATACTCTTAATATATCCTAAAAAGGAGGAAATATAAAAGTTGTCTGTTTTAGTACCTATGATGAACACTTTACCCTGAGCACTGCTTTCCACATATAACCAGATAAACTGAACTGGTACATGCTGCAAACAAACTTTTTTTTTTTTTTTAGCAGTTCTCATATATAGAAGAATCATTTTGCTTTTCCCTTCCCAGAAAGTTTAGAACAAAGAGAAACAAATATAAATGCTTTTACTACAAAAACAGTGTTTAAATGCAGAGTATAGCAATTTCACAGATTATGAGGAACTTAAGGAAATATCTGTCTATTACCTACAAAGCTGCGACTTCTAAAAAACAGGTTCAGTCTCTTAAGTTGTTACCAAAAACACCCTTGAATATCCCCCTCACAAGTATTTTCTTAGATACCTGACAATACTTTGCTTCACTGTGCCTCTCACTCGGCTAAGAAAGACTTTTTTTCCTGCATTTACAGAGGACAAATAAATGCTTTAGTGGCTCCAACAAATACTGTTAAGGCAATCTAGTACTCCCTCTGCTGGCAATGCAAATAACGTACAGTCATTTCACCAGTAGGTCCTTCATGGAGAGAATTAAGAGGAGAAAAAAAAAAAAAAGTTAGAACAATTAGCAGAATTGTAGCACTTCCAGGTTTGTACTTTGAGAAGAGGGCGTTCTCCAGATTATGAAAACTGAATGGTATGGCAGCTTCTATTTAAGTAGCTAAAATAATAACTCTGTGAACTTAAAAAACTTAAACCGCAAGTTGTGACCTTTCCTAAAATATTCAACTCTGCTCACCCTCATTACTCAGCTTGTTCTTCTAATTATCTGCAGCGCTGTTTTTTTTTTTTTTTAAGAAAATCAGCATTTTGATGGTTTAGGACTCCAATTAAAAAAATCTTTATATAAAAACTCATTTATTAAACCTCTGTACACAAAAATGAACAGGTATGTACAGCAAGTTTACAGGAAGGAGGATGTTACAAAAGATATAGTGGTACTTAAAACTGACCCACATAAATAATTTATAAAAATATTTGAAATGGTGACGATAATGCTGGTAGTCCCTGATTACTTCCATCCAATTGCCAGGATTTAGATGCGGGAAATCTTAATGTTCACCCTTTTTAAAAACGTTCTGAATATATTAAACTTATCTACAGGATAATTAGCAAAACGTATAAAGTATAGGTTATTGTACAAAGAACAGATTTAAAAAAAAAAAATCATCAATCCACCTGAACCTCAAGGACAATAAATTTTAGCCAAAGTAATGAACACCAACCCACAACTTCTTCTTTTTAGAGTTTCATGTATTGGCAAGTAAATTGTTCTTAATAAATCAACAGTCCTGTTCTTCCTTAGTGGAAGGATATGGGAAATTCCTGCATATTTTCTGGCAGTATTGGTCCCGGTCAATATGGAAACCCTGTGCTGACTGCAGTTCCAAGGTAGACCAGGGGCTGTATTTTTCCAGAGTTTCTCCTTCCCAGAGAAGGATAAAAAAAGATTATCTGACTTTGTAAAATTGGAGGAGGAAAGATAAGGATGCAGGGATTTGGACATAATGGAACAAAGGAAGACCAGTTAAGATGAGGGCTTTTTCTTTTGCTGGTTTCTCGGGGAATTTTTTAAAACACTCCGTATGCGAAGATAAACACCTGTTGATTCTGCCATATTTTCAAATTCAAATGGTGTTATTCCTGCAGCAAACTTGCTCATGTCAGGAACAGGACTGGAGTTTTTTGCAGATGATTCAGTGCTTGTGACCACTTGATAAACATCTGTATTTCCTCCGTTGTTAACCTCAACTTCGGGAGCCGGGGTGGTGTTATCCAGCATGCCTTCAGAATCCACATTATTAGGATTTTCCTTTAAATTAAGTGAATTATCCCCTGGATTAGGACTAGTTTTAGAATGTTCATTTCCTGGTACCTGTGTGCTAGTGTCAGAAAACTTAGTTTCCACTGTAACCACTTTGTCAGATGATCTTACTTCTGCAACAAGATCTACTTCATTCCTAGATGGGGATGATGTAACAGAGTTTCCAGTTAAAGGTGTATCAACAGGAATATCAGAGTCACTGTTCGTGCTTTCTGCCTGCTCTAGGGCTGCCCAAATTAATCGCTGCTGTTCCTCCAGCTCTTCTAAAGTCAGAGTATCCTCATCCATCGTTGAGTCCACTATTTTTGGCTGAGAAAAGAGTGAACGGTGGACTAGTCCTAGGAGGAGGAGGGGGAGCGGGTGTTGGAGGTTGAGGTGGTGTAGAATTTAGTGGAGTAAGTGGAGGTGTCCCTCGTGGTAAAGGGGGAGGAGTTGAACTCGATGGAGGTCCAGGTGGCAGTGGAGGCTGGAACTGAAAGCTTTTACGAGTTTGAGATCTTTGTGACACTTCCAGATCTACAAACAGATGAAAGGCATGTATTACAATCTGAAACGCCTGCAGGGCAGGATTCAGCGTACCAATGCTCTGATTAACTAGCAGACTTTTGTCTTCTCAGCCTTGTTTTTAGTGATATGGAGCAAGCCTTTTGAAGGTGTTAATGTCCACTGAAACTATTTTTGGATTTTCACACTGATGGCCATTCAAAAAAAAATATATATATATATATGAAACACTCTTGAATGTATTTAACAAGCTCCTTCCATATTGAGATGCACTGGAGTACCCTCCCTCAGAGGAAATCAAAAATAAAAGCCAGAAGCTTCAACAGCTATTCTAACATTGAAGCAACATTCCAAATCCTCCCGAATTTGACTATTTTTAAGAAGTTGCGAATCACCATTTCATCAAAATATTTTAGGATTTGGAAGTTTTCATAACAGATCTTTAGGATACACCTAAAGTAAAGAGACTGGAATTGGTGACTTAACATTTCAATTACTTTGAGCAGATCTGAAACCTCCTGCTGGGTAGTGGAAGATATGATGACCGCAGCAACAGAGAACGCTTTTTGTAGAGGCTCAAATGCAACTATAATAGGACACTACTAGCCTACCTTAGTAGTTACCGTAAGTAACGATACCGAACGCTAACACATCAGTTTCTATCTATTAACACTGACATTTCAATTCAGAGTAAGTTATTTTGAAAATAAAAACTAAAACTAGGGGGAAAAAAGGGGCAAAATAACTATACCAGAATCTAGGTCCATGTCAGTTGCTGGTACCTCCAAGTTGTCTTCTTTTGGTCGCTTTGAATGATGAGAGCTTGACTGTGTTGCAGCCCTTTTATTGCTCGATTTTGTACTTGGCTGAAGGGAAGTTACCCAGGAAGACAAAAGAAATTAGAATTAAATCATACCAGGTAATATTTCCTCCTGAAAGAATATCTTTAAAGCAACTGCATAATTAAGTAATCACTTGGTGACCCACTTTGAACACTAGACACTGAAATTTGAGCAACTGAATGAACTGATGATTTTTTATGCAACTGAACAGAACTGTAATTTTAAGCGGCAAAGAAAAGGATTGTCTGTATGCCTAACAGGATTAAGATCAAGTTTCCACCTGGACACCTAGATCTTGTGAGACCATCACAAGTATTGCATATTCCTTCACAGCAGGTTTAGAATTTGCCATTTAATTCCTTACAGCACCACACAGTAATGATGACTGAGTACAGAACACACACCTTCCATTCTTAACTAGAACTATTCAACAGTAGATAAAACTAGGCTAGAGTCACATAAGAGAAGATCTGAGAACGCTAGAGAACTCAGCTACCATATTTTCTGAAGTCACTATAAAAAGATTACTGTAAATCACGCCTATGCAAGTAATCTTTTCACTTATTAGGGAAGTCTAGAACTTAGCAGACTGCCTTTAGTCTCTAAGAGTTTAAAGCTATCTTTATTCACAACTATTGAGAAAATATGGCATAATCATGATCTGTTCACGTTAACCGCAATAATAGAATTTGTTCTAAACATGAAACTCCTTTTTTTGTTAGAAGAGATAGGCCAAGATAGAGACCGCCTTACTGGTTCACTAGAATGCAAAGCCAATAGCATGTTAAGCAAGTTTACTACAAAACTAATAAAAGCATCAGGATTTCACACTTTGTAGTGTCCATAAGAAAGTCTATTCCCTTGTGCAAAAATGAAGACATAAACAAGCGATCACTGCTGTCAATACTAAATAAAAGATTTCCTTAGACAACTTTTTTCCTTTTTGTGTGTGTGAGTAACATTGAGACATATTCACCGCGTGAAAATTAGAAAGGTAGTTAGCAAAAACATCCTTCTGTTGAGATGGCTGCATGGGTATGGAACCAAATATCCGCCATTCCTACAGCAAAAAAGAGAAAGAAGACTGATGTTGCGTACGGTTGACTAATAATATGACAGTAAAACCTAGGAGAAACACTAGGAGAAAACAAGCCAAGATGGATTATAGCTCTCATCAAAAGCCTCAAAGTTATTTTTAATACACAGGCATTAACATCAATGATGAAGCTTGTTACTAACAAGCATGTTAAATTGTTCTCAAATATAAACTTTGGCAGCAAAGGGCATAAAAGACTCCTTGTCTGAAGGAAAACGTCAGCCGCAGAACATAATGCTAAACTTGGCTAAAAGCAGTTAACGTTACTCAGCACGCTGTTCAGAAAGCAGAGGTCAGTCACTTACATCTGGGATCCCACTTGGAGCGGACATATTAAAGCCTGGATAGTTTATCAACTTAGAGACATCATAAGTGACACATTTTGGTTGATGAGATCCTTCATCTTCTGTTTCACCATCATCTATAACAAAATATAATTATTATGAATGTTAATTCAGAACATTAATGAAGAAATTCACAGCTTTAAGAAAAAAGTTTTGATTTTTGGAAGGTAAGTATTGATAAAAGGCTTTCCAAACAAGGCAATAACAGTGACCAAATCTATCAGATACATGCATGCAGCTTCCCTAGAACCGTAACCGGACGTTCATAATACTACTACTCCAAATCTGCCATCAGCAGCCTCAGATTTTGGCTTCAGGAGCGTTCTCTGCTCTGCGTCAACAGCTCGTGCTTTCTCTTGGCATGGACCTAACAGAGCTGGAAGCAATTGCAGTCGTCTTGTCCGTGGGACAGTCAGGCTTATCCTCCAGTGCTGGAAAGGCTGACACCCTGATAACAAGGCCCATCCAAAACTGGTGCAATCAGAGAATAAAACTATCTGCAGAACAAACAATAGTTCTATACTTTGCTGACGGTCTGCTCCAAGTGAGTTTTTATTTAGAATATGAACCAGGAAAGCAACTGATAAAGGACAGTATTAGTCAATTTTGAAATAATAAGGCAGAAATTTTTCTGATAGCTAGTAACAAAACACGATCTGTTTTCTTGTTCTACAGAGGTGGCATAAATATTGGTTATTAGCAAAAAGCTGGTAAACTACTCCACAGCAAATTGGGTTTCAAGAAATACGTTCATCGCTCAATGGTCTTCATGTTGCCTAGTGTGATCTTGGAATCTTATCATACAGGAGTAAGTTACTGAACTTTAGAAAGTGTTATGGCTTCTTTCATGAAACATAAAACAAAGAGAAGCTGTAAACTCATTATAAAAAGAAACATGAGGAAATTTGACAGCAGACTATTTGGAAGCCTTAGAAGTTCCATCCACAAAAACTCCATGTTCTGTTATCGGTTGTTGATAAAAGAGTAAAATCTCAGGGACAGTCTCCTCATCTCTGCGATTCTATCATTATAGAAGTTGTTTTGTTGTCGCAGAATGGCTAGATGAAAGGGAGCATTTTTACATGACCGTAGACAAGAAAATTTGATTTACAACATTCTCACTCTTCTGTGAGGATGAAAGTTTACAAACTAGGTACGTTACTGCCTTCTAAGTAGGATGCAGCAAGTAAACAGCCTGCGTACTAAGAACTGCATTCCCAATGAACATTCCTTACCTTTTCCATCATAAAGTGCAAGGCCCGAGTGCTCCATTTCAGCCTCTTTGAGCCAACCTGGAGGATAACCCAGCTGACGCATGCGATATATAAATGGAGGAAGACTGTTATCTGTGACCCCAAGTGCATCTTGAAGCTCTCCACTAAGTTAAGAAAACAAACAGAAAACAAGTCCTCCAGGAAGTCCATAACTGAGTTTCAGAGGAAGGAAGTTTTGAACGTTCTGTTGAATTTTAAACTACCAAGTACAAACATTTTAGTTTTAAAAGCGCAATAGAAAATGTTGGTTGTTAGATACCTTATCCTGTCAATCCCAGAAATAACTAAAGTCAAAAACAGCACTGATATTAAAGAAACCTTGTAAGACTTCAGTTTATCCAACAAGTGTACGTATACTTAAATATTCTATGAAAAATAATTCTACTCTGAGAATAGCTTATTCCTTGACTTCTTAATTTTGATTAACGGCCTTAACTGTAGCTACCAGCAAAGGAAGGGAGGAACTTAATGCAAAATTAAATTTACTGATGATTTGTTTAGACTGCCACAGCTATACAATGACTTTTTTAAATATATAATTTGAACACAGAGAAAAAGAGCGAGAGAGCGTCAAAGCCTAAAAATTTTCAGAATCTTGCACTCATCTTTAATTATCAGGAGCTTAATATATTTATAATCCTCCCTGTGAAGAGAGTTGCAATAGCAGCCAAACAGTAAAATCCATCCCCCCCCAACATCAGAGAAAGTATCATGGGAAAAGGATGGACTATTACGCTAGGCATGAGAATTTTAGTTTGGAAAATATCTGAGGAATTTAATAAACACAAAACTTTATTCAGCAAACAAATTTGAACATAATATACCCGTAGTTAAGATTAGCAGATTGACTTACAGAACTCTGAACAGTAACATTTGGCATTCCAAAGGTAGAAAAGGTATTCCAGAAAAGCAGTGCAACAGTTAATGGAAGGAAAAAGACATACCTAATTACTCCTGGTTTAAATTTTCCAAATCTCTCTTCTACTTCTTCTGCATGATAACGCTGCTGAAAATTCTGATTGCTGGCTTCACCACAAGCTTCCAAATACTCCTTTCTCTTCTCACTTATACGAGCAGCGTTTCGTGGCTTAAAGATAACGCAGTTGGAAAGTTTAACTTTGGACCATTTGCAATTTATGCACGCCTTCACCCAACATAAAACCTGTACTCTTTGCCCCAAGCTTGTTCAATCTTTTATCACACATCCAAAGTATAATTACAGTTGTAATGAAAGTTAAACAGCAAAAAATCGAAAAGTGTTTGCATTTGAGCTAGTAGATCTCTAAAACAGGTAGAACGACTGTTCGAACTGAAAAATGTTCCTATGTAAGTAAAAGGGGGTATTCAAACCATTATGCTATGAAATTCATTTACATGTTGATTCAATATATTACTGTATACAACTTACACATAAGAGAGGTAAGAGGAGAGGTATAATTTAATCAACAGAAATTAATAACTATTTGTAGATCCTGACCAATGCATCTTATTGTTATTTATTTAGTATTGCAGTTACATTGAAACATTTTTGGAGAGAGGCAGCCTTTTGAATACTGATGTAGAGTTTACCTTTGGGCAGTCTTTCATTTGATGGTCTTCAGAACCACAATTGAAACAATGAGGTTTTGGCCTGTTTAAGAAATGCTCAAGAAATTATTAAGTTTGAAAATCATTCTGCAATGTTAAACGCAATTAATTCTTTTAAACTTCGTTGGATTTTTAGTCTTTCTTTTAGAAAGAAAAGATGTTAAGCATAGCTTGCTGATTTCGCATGCTGTCTTCTGCTTTTCTGAAATTAACTGCTTAATATAAATCTTGAAAATAGAGTAACAAAGTTTTGTTTATTTGATGGTCCTAAGTAGAACACAAGAACAGAGAAAAAAAACATGCACAGTCCTGTAAAAAAGAAAAGAATGCATGATTACATGTGGAGAGGAAGGAAAGAAAGAACTATAATTATAGAGGCATAGTAGTACTTCCAGACAGAAATGGAGTTTTTATATCCTATAGAGCATAAGTTATTCCTTTAAGAGGGAACACAGTAGTCACAGAATAATTCAGGTTATAGCTCAGGAGGTCTCTAATCCAATTCCCTTCTTCAAAGCAGGGTCAGCTACGAGAGCAGACTAGGCTGCTTAGGGCGTTATCCAGTTGGGCCTTGAAAACATCTAAGGATGGAGACTGCAAAACCTCTCTGGGCAACCGGAGAATGGTGAAAAAGCTTTTCCTTGTTTCAAATCGTGCTGCAGATAGAAGAGTATTCACTGAAGCATTTCAGCTTTTGATTAAACATAGAAACATACGCTTAGAGAGCGCCAAGGACAACGCAAAAAAAAAAAAAACCTGTATCGTAAAGTTTACGCTATGTCAAAAGGTAGGAAAGAGACGTTAAACAATACTTTTAACTCTAGAGTACAGATAAGGAACCCTCATCTTAGTATGTCTGTAGTACATAATATCTCTATTACTCTTCCCATGCTTTTACCATCAGAGGTCTGATTGTTTTTACAATATTTAGAATCAGTTACCAGTAGAAACAAGTAGGAGCACGAATTGGAGCACGACCATTCAGTCTGGTCCACAGACTGAACAAATTACACATACTGTGAAACTGCATACTGAAAACCTGGAAGCGAGTCTAACTACAAATGGAATTGCAGTTGGCTTCAAGTTTAATTTTCCTTGCAAATTGATGCCATGGTAACAAGCATATTTGACACTGGGGGAAATCCCAATCTCTTACAAGATTTCAGAGAAAGATTTTTTTCCTCAATATTCATTTTTATCAAATTAGGAGGGGAACCAAAAGGGGAGACGAATAGGTGACACACAAACATATGTCCAGGGTAACTCCCCCCAGTCTTAAAGCCTCTAATTAGATAAAACGAGGTGCATCTTTTGCTTCTTGTTTACATGCAATTCAAACGGAAACATTCTGCAGCGACACAAATACTTTATCACCACCTCATTAGCATGAGCATGATTGTTAAATCTGCTTTTCCTTCAGACCGTAGTATTTCCACCCAAAACAGAGAATTTAAGTCAACATGCCCCTTTTTTTCTTTGAATTTCCCAATAAAAGCTTGTGTGGTCTTCACTGCATCTGAAATCAATGACTTTTGATGCTATGAAGACCACACCAGCTACCACCAGGAAATTCAATGAACTTTACTTTTCCCCTCGGAAAAGCCATAAACCCAACTCCAAGTTTGTCTTAAGAGCCTAAAAAATAAGTCAGACAGGAGTTGTTCTACAAAGACACAGTACCCCGACAGTATACCAGTGCAAGGATGACAAAGCAATCATTAAGAAGACAAGCAACAGAAGACCAGAGCATAAACAACTTCAAAAACAGTTTCTTACACATTGATTCTTAGGCCCTTTCTAAAGAAAGGCAGCGGACCACAAAAACCCTCTCACTGCAGATCAGCACTGTAATTTGAACTCATTTCTCAAATATGTTCAAGGGTTTAGAATACTAGGGAATAATCACAGTGTACATCTGAACTTTTCAGCTCAAAACTTTATATTCAAGAAGAATACAAACCTTTTTGGTTTTACTTGTATTTCTTGTCCATCTAGGGAGAGAATCTGGCTGAAAACTTGCTGATATCTTTAGATTTCAATAAGGAACTGCTACTGGATGAAGCAAAATTTCAATCTCATTTAAAATACCAATAAAAAACTAGTAGCGCTTTAATGGAGTATTGACTCTACTGATTAAGTTACAGATGAGTCTTCAGTATAAAGTCTATACTTCAGAAGTACAATCCACTATAAACTATTTGCTGAGATGGGTGTTTATAGTTCCCGTCTAATAACCAATGTTGGTTTTTCTTTCCACTTGCTAGACTGGAACATTCTTGTTTATAAGCAGAAATTTCACATTTGTAATTGTGAGGTACTTCTTATCAGTATTAACAGACCTCAAAAAATTTGTAATATATTCTGGTAGAGTTTCCACAATAGAACTCACTGCTCAAGTAGGTAAAGCCAGGGCATATAATATTACTTGTTTTCGGTTTTTAACTGTAACGTGCCCATTGCTCTGCCCGTTCAGCTAGAAACCTACAAGGATGGAAAAGGCTAAGAAGTTCAGCAGAGTTCAGAGGCACAGCAACGTACAGAATCTAACAATTGCTTTTAAAAAGAAAAGCATTTGTCAGAGACTAGTCAAACTGACACTGAGTGCAGTACTTTGGTCACTGAGAGCCATGGTACCCGATACACCATTTAATTCATTAGTAAGGGCTATTTTAGGCTCAATGTCATCTGTGGGAGCTCTACAGAAAGATGCAACAAGCCTATCTGAAGAACAACTATAAAGTTAAGATGATAGACATGAAAGTTTAGCCCGGCTAAACTTTGCATTTTAGGATAAACTCCCCCGTTGAACATCTAATGCCTTTATTTAGAGGTTGGGAGAGGGTACACATACCATTTGAAGAGCAGAATTTACTTAATGCACTATGACAAAGGCAGCTTTTGAAATGTAAAATTACAGCACAGTGCATACGCAGTCAAAGGCAGGCACAAGAAAACCCAGGTTAGCCAGCTCATAAATTTAGATCTTCGTCAGGTACAAGTCATTCTTAACGCTAGGGACTGACCTTTATCACTAGCTATTACAGAATTGAAATGTTAAACCGTTTTTTTTTCCTGACTCTTTCTGGGGCAGAAGCAATGTTGGGAAACTGGGGAGACAAGATTGTTTGGGTCAGTGAGGACTACAATATTAAAAAACGCTTTATCCAACACTTTCCTCGCTCCCACCTCTCAAATACTGGCTTTAAGAAACAGCAAAGAGCCAACTCTGTAAATTAAGATGCACAGTAAGAGGATGTAAATTAATAGCTTCCACAATTAAGTTAAGAGATTTTCCCCTTGGCTCCCAAATTTGGCTAAATCACCTCAGAGTATCTGAGTTTGCCAAGCCCTTTTCTTCTCTCAAACAACAGATCTTATAAAGGCATATCAGGAATGAGCTGTTATTCAAAATCTGATCACAGACTGGCCCAAACAATTCCTAGATTCAAAAGATACCTAGATTTACAGGTATGCAAGTATTTACTCTTCCCAAGCATAAAAGTCTTCTAAAAATCATTGAGCCAATCATGTCAAAATATTTATGTTTTTTTATTTAAAAAAAAACCATTAATTATTCATTAAAATTTTTCATCCATAATATTGATATGACTTAGATAAAAATGTAAAACTTACTGAATAAAATCCAAGCTCAACTATACCCACTAGCGTTCTTTGGAGTTAATAAACAGAAAAAAACCCTTGTTTTAGCAAACAGGATACTTAGGTATTTCCCATCCTTCTGTCAGCTGTGGATTCTCATTTAATATAGGCTGTCCCAGTTTATCAAGACAAAAATTGGTAAAATACAGAACACTTCCTACAACCTGTAGAAAAAAAGTCAGAAAATTGTCAGAAACGTGTCAGTATTAAGGTCAGATTATCCGGTAATATTTTTAGAAATTTACAATGCTTGATATACTTTCAGATTTTTCCCCCACTCTGCAAGAATTTTCAAATAATACATGCCCACTTCTGTACAAATCAACATTTTCTCTAATGATGTGACCAAAACATACTGGACTGGACTGTTATTACATTGGCATATGAAATTTAGCAATGAGATCTCACTTTAATGACACTCTACACTGGGTATGTAGAATGGAGAGTTAGACCTACCACTGAAGAGCATATAGTTAAGACTTACACTGAAGGCTTCCTTCATTTTTTTAGCAGAATTCGAGCTTGCTGCTTTAGAGTCCTCTTCCAAAAGGACACTGGAGGGCTGACATGAAAAAGCAAAAGTGCAAATAAGTACTGAAAAAAAAACTAAAGAGGAGTTTTCCACAAGTACAGCTTCTCTTTTTTCCATGACCAAACACACGTTAGCTTAAAAGTAGAATGAGATGTTAATGCTTTGTACAATTCAAATTATGACAGAGCTCATTTCTTTCTTTCTTTTTTTTTGATAATGAGAAATAAGCTACGTAAGAACATCTTTACTCTTAACTCAAAAGCTGAAGAGAAAGATGGGAGAAGTATGTCATTCTGCCTTATTATTCAAAGCAAACCCTAAGCGGGAACATACAAATGAAACTCCAAATTTTAAACTAAGAGAAGAAAGTGATAATTTCAGTATTCTGTTGTTCATCTATGCTTTCCGATAGATTCAAAGTGGGGTCAAACACTATCAGAAGAGGATATGCAAGTTTGTATCTTAGGGTCTTTTCTCAATTATTTAAATCAACTTAGTTGTTAGATGATGGAGTTAGATGATTGCAATTAAGTTGGAAGTCAGCTCTTTAGCAGTGTTAGTATTTCAATATCACCTCTATAAAGATGCAAGAGAAGCAGTCCCTAACCACAACTTCAGCTTTAAAGTACCTGCGGCTTAACATTGAAGTGGGTTTTTTCTGGTTCAGACCTCTGCTGCTCTTCATATTTCTGAACTAAATTAAAAATAAAATCTTCAATTTCTTGATGATATTGTCTGTAACAGAGTGAAGAAACATGCAGAGATGAAGAAATCAGTGCAAGTTATGGACAGAAGAATTTTTTTCATGATGTTGTGTGACATAATCTTCCAAGAGTAACGTGAACATGCCAAGTAACAGGGCTTGCATGTTAGATTAAGCAGAAAAACTGACTGTCAGGAAGAAAGGGTTGCTGGGGGTGGGGCTCAAAAAGACAGCATCAACAGATCTTCCTGCTACTTGTAACTGCTGTAATTTTACAGTATTTCACACTTTTTGGTTCAACCACTCCTTCCTTGCTTATGAAAAATTATGAGCATGAATTCAAGTGTTTAAAAAAAAAAAAAAAACCACCCCCCCAAAAACCCATACACATAACACCCCCAAACCCCCAACCAGCTCATTATCATATACTCAGACAGCAAAAAGCCAATAATGGCTCTTTCAAAGAGAAGTTAAAGAATGTTATGTAACAAAACCATGACTACAAAGAATATTAAGATTTACAGTGTTTGTAACAACAAAATTAGCAAGACTGAAACGCTTTTACCAGATTTCTTTCTTTCCTCTTTTTTTTTTTTTTTTTTTTTTAAAAAAAAGCATCTACAGCATCTACCATTTACTTTTTCCTGAGAATTTAGAAAAGGGACAGGGATTTCTCTCCTGTCTTCTTCCCACTACCCCAACAACACAAATGTTGCCAGTTATTAGAAAGTACTCTTACTATTACCATAGTAACAACAACAACAAAAGGTAGGGCAATTTAATTTACTATGTTTAGTTATAAAACTCAAGAAGTTTAAACTGCTACTCAGACTCCAAGCTCGCTACTGACAGCGGGAGACCTTCTGTCACATTGCTCATTCTTACCTTCTTCCCCTGCAAACATCGTCACACAAATGCAGAGGTGCTTATTCAGGGCAAGATTAAAACAACTCTTTTCCATGAATACTACTAGATCAATATTAAGCTAGCAAATGAAGGAAAGGGGAACAAGAGTTTGCAATGCCTGGCAGTAGGGTCAACTTACTACGCTAATCACAAAAATATGCCTTCAGATACATTTTCCACAAGTCCTGCAAAATATACCAGCAGCAACAGAGCTGAAATTTGAACTAAAGGATAGCTGAAACTTAAAGTAAAAGATCAGCACAGCCAACTGCATTAATGTAGAAGGCAACCTCCAAGCATTTTTTGCTTTGCTGGCTTTGGTTGATTTAGAGACTGATTAGAGAAGGAAGATGTGCCTTGCAGTACTACTTTATACACTTAAACAAAGTTTTCTCAAATACTTTTTAAAATTGAATATGAACTCATGACGAACTCGTGCTATACCTGTAGGCAGTTTAATTAGCATAAGTACATTTGAGGGAAAAATAGATTACTGAAATGGAGTTGAAGATACTAGATTTCGCTGAATTAAAATCTACGTTTAAGAAGTTTATGTTACTGAATACCATACACATACTTCAGTTAAATACCAACATATCCAAAGCAAACAAAACAAAAACAACAAAAAAACCCCACAACCTAGTTTTTTGCCAGGATTGCTTTTGCTTGGCAAGAGAAAGTACTTACTTTGAAATGACATTGTTCATAAATAAAATCTGTAGCAGAGGTCCATCATATTTAGAGCTGTCCACTGAAATTCCACTAGAAGAACAGAACAGAGATACAGACAGTGGATACTGTACTAGCTTTACTGTAAATCGTTCCTATCCGTTTTATCGCAACAAAGAGGCTCTATTCCAAAAGGGACATAGAGCAAAGTTTGGGCAATGCAAGTTCTGTTCTTTTAAAAGTTTCTTCTATCTAGGAGAAGAGGCACGGGCGTAATCTTTCCACAAGGGAATGTTGCAAAAGACGTAGCAAGTTTAGGCAACTACTATCTCTGTTCCAGAGAAGTTCAATTTTAAAGATGCATAGGTCACACAAAGCGCTTTTAATTCAGCGTTAACGTACCTAGGACGAGTCAGAATACTCAGTTTCCTTTTAAGTTCTTGATGTTAACTTCTTGTTAAGGAACATCACTTTCTTCAGAATGCAAATATACACACCCCTCAATCAATTACACAGTTAACATACACAGACAAAAACCCACACCAAGCAGGAATTTCATAGAATAACTTATGAGGTTTTCAGGCTTTTCCATTTCACTGCATAAGGAATCATTCATAAACCCATCTGTTGCTGAAGGAAAAAAAAAACAGGAAAAAAAAACAGAAAAAAAAAAAGAAAATAGCTGAAAAAAGGACTAGCCATGACACTCCAAACAGTAACTCCTTACATGCACCATGGCTGAATTGCACGACTAATAACGTTTTATTTTTAAAATACCTATATTCATCACAAAAGGGATAACAGTCAAAAGAGGAGCGTCCAGCATTCTGTGCTTTAACAGTCACTTATCCCAATACCCAAGAGCCCAGCCACCTCCTTGGCCAAGAGAGGTGAAAACAAACACTGCCAAAACTTCGGGAAAAACTTCCTCCGAAGCGACGGAAGCAGAAGCTAGAGGAAGGAGGCAGCC